GTAAACTGCATAAAGTTGCTGACGAATTGGGATTTTATAGCTAAATGGGCCGGGCTATTCCACAAACCTCCCTACACATTTAAACAACATGATTTTCGTCCCAATAAAGCAGTAAAACAGGAACATGATTTTGTTATTGTATATTCATTAAAATTAATCATACATATTATAAACAATTTTGTAATTTAAAAAGGCTATAATTTTTTAATGCAACGAAAGCTCAGATTATCTGCATTCCATACACAGGTAAGCAAACAAATTTTCCCTCTGGTGTTAAGTGGAACTATTTGTTTTTCTCTATAGAGGAAATGATCAGCCATATTTCATCGATCCTAGTAGAATAGAAATAAAGTCCTTGTTGTCCTGAATGATGCAGGATAACCTCTGAGGTCGAGAAATGTTGTTTGAAATAAAAAAGCCTCGGAACATTTCTCAACCTTGGAGGTTATCCTGCAACATTCACAAAAATGCTGACTTTATTTCTTAATAAAATCATTATAGTAGGGACTTTGTCACAGGTAATGGTCTTAATTATACATGTATAAATGTCTTGGTGGCTTTGTGAGAACTTCTTGAATACCTTATTTCTGGATTTTTCATATAAAGAAATCTAAAGGTATTTTTATCACAGCTAAATTTGCAAGTTTAATGTAGTTTATGTAAATTTCACTTGGAAAGAACATGAAGAATTTCAGATTAATTTTTTTTATCACACACAATTTTTCATGTAAATTTCACTCTTTTTTTCAGTAAAATACATCTGACAAGGCCGGAATAAAAAATATCTTTGTTTCCCCTAATCCGACCCTAAATTCTCAAGTTGGGTCGGTAGGTAGGTAAACAATTTTATTTTCTGACAGCAGCTTTGAAAATACATTCTAAAATTTAATGGAAAATTATATTTATAAATAAGAAAAGTACGAAAGAAAGCGATTTGTGAACAAAATGCTAAGTATCATACATATGCCATTTAAAAGCAATATTTACGATTAATAATTAATTCACAACTGTAATTTAGATGAACTTATGAAATATCTCACGCCAGAGTTTTTAAACAAGGAGGAGGAACCAAAAACCAAAAACAGAGCATTTTGCTTTGGAGTTAAGACGTAAGTTGCTAATTTTAAGTCGCAGGTTCAAATACCAATGAGGAACATTGAAAACGGTCCTTCAAAAGGGACCATAAAAACTTATTCCAGTGTCGCAGATGCGGTGTTGTATGCTGGTTCAAAAAGATCCCCACTGCTTAATGGCAAAAAAGTGCGTAGTACGTCTAAATTTGGAGCAATGGGGAAATGTTCAAATGTCGTCCCAACAAATTTCAAAGGGATTAAAAGCAAAGAAACAACCTTCAAGGGCCTAATTAAAGAAAAAATACACTGGACGTCTCAGGAAGCTAACTTATGATTTTAAAACTATTTGGAAAGAGTATTTAAACAATATTTAAATGAACCAAACCGAATCTACAAATGATTAAAATGCTAGGGTTATAAAACAATGTCATAGTCATGATATTTAACCCTTAAATAAAGGCATGAAAAAGTACAACTGAATAATATTTATTAGGATGAATATGCAGACATATGTACAACAGCTCCTATGATTCCATAATAGCATATAGTAAACATAGGAACATAGATGAATTGTTTATTAGATCAAAACTCAAATTAAATAAGATACAGTGAAAGAATGATGTGTTCACTAGGTGGGCCCCTCATCTGCTCATGAGGCTGGCCTTTCCATGTATTACGTACCTGAAATTCAACAGACAGTATTGTTTGTTCGTTGTTTAACATTCTTTCGAAAATTTATTCAAATTGTTTAAAGAGTGAAGAATTCTAGTTAGCTAAAGGCATAAGATTGAGACATCGCCATTGTTTTATGAAGAACTACTTCTATGTAATCACATCTGGGCGCTATTTTGTTTCCATCAAATGCTTGAAAATCACAGTAGAACAATGTCGGCTGTTCTGATAAAAACTGATTTTGATGAAATTGTATATTATAAAACTTGGTTGACAATAAAAAAAAATTTGAATCATCTTAACTAAAAGATCTTTTCAGTCGGCGGGATTTAATTGGGTCGGTCGCATTAGGGGAAACAAAGCTATTTTTTATTTTGGCCCAATGTACCCATTTTGTGTCCTTTTCATGTGAATTAATTTATTTTGGAAAATCAAGTGAAACACATTTCCTCATGTATTACCGATATCAATTTCTCCTGTAAAACAATAATTTATGATTTATTGATCATTTTATTTTAGGAGAGAAAGACCTACCTGCCTCTAAGAGAGAGTGGGAGTAGGATGTACTATGTCATCAGTGATATGGCTAAAATCAACAACATGTACAGATTCAGTCTGGCTGCTTTCCTTAGAATCTTCAAGAAAGCTCTTAAGACCAAACAAGTAATATTTTTTGTATTTCAGCTTATATCTTAAATTTTCTCTCAATCAATTTTTCTTTGCTTCTGACATTTTAAAAATAGAATTTTCATATAATATTTTTCTATACATGTATATTATTTGTATCAATTCTAAATATTACGCTTTTATTAGAGTTCAGAAAAAGTATTCAGAGGTGTAGCTGATTAAGCTATACATTTACAGGACGGCAGTGGGACTGACCACAGAATCCAAGCCCTGACTCAGAGACTACAGAATCTGGTGTATGAATACGTCTGCCGCTCTCTGTTCAAAGCAGATCGACTCATGTTTGCCCTTCACATGGTGCATGGAATGAGACCAGAGATGTTTGAATAAAACGTATGTACATTAGCTTTAAGCAATGTTCAAAATAAGTGGAAACTCTCTATTTGTCGCAAAAATATTTGTTAAAAATGGAATATTTGAAATGTTCTGTAAAAATGTTGATTTTTTAGCCGGTTTCATTGCTCAAAGAGCAATTGCTGGCTTATGTCATCCTGTTCAAGGCAGGAAGTCAACCCCATAATCGCCATTTTAAAGTTACGATTAAAAATATAGTTCTTGCTCTCAACCGCTTTTGAGATAATCCAAACGCTAAATAAAGCAACAAAAGTAAAACGAAGTTTTATCTTTATAAAACTTAAGTAGTAATGACTTTGAAAACTTTAGTTCTAAGTCAAAGAACATAGTTCATTAGCCTAAGGATTTTTGATAATCAGTGTTATTGTAGTTCTCTATACACATACCAGGTAAAGCAGGAGAGGGAACCAGACTGGCCTGTTTGTTTACATTCAGCTACTGTACCAGATTAATTCTGATTCTGACAAAATTGGACCGTGGTATTAGGATTGAAAAACTCACTGTCAGTGTCTTATCATTTATATTGATAGTTTTAAAATAATTTTTTTCATCAGAATATAAATGTATGTTTCATGTAAGAAATTCATTCTACTCTGTAAATAAGCCCGGCTCTCTGTACTTCAGAGTACTTTGATTTGTTGACTGTTTGTCAGGACTGGGAGGGTTTCACAGGAATCCTGGTGTCTGATGTGAAGTCGGAGAGAGGGCGGGGATTACCCTCCTGGCTTGATCAAGAGAGGCACACTGCTGTCACCAATCTCAAGGTAAACTAGAGGCCTTTTCAACGGAATGAATATTCACAAGGACTCTCCAAAATTCTTTATCCCTTCAACGGAGATGTTGGCTTTGTTGAGCAAGCTTCTGTTTTCTTTTCACTAGAAAATGAAGCATTAGAATTTTTTTCTCTCTCTTGAGTTAGTTTCTTAAGCAAATTTGTCCAGAACGAAAGCAACCTGTCAAGTTTAATTTTCTGACCTCAATTAGAGTGGGAAGGGGGATTCTCAAAACACAGTTCTTATTTAAAAAATAATGTAAATGTTTGTTGCAGAACAATTTCCCAAAGTTGTACCAGGTGCTGAACTTTGATGATGGGTCTCTCTGGTCTAACTTCTCCCGTAGGAACGAGTGTGAGAAGGAGTTCCCCTCAGTGATTGAGAAGCGAGTCACTCTATTCCAGCAGTTAATTACTTGTAGTCCAGGCAGTCAGGCCAGACAGCCTACAGACTGCCATGGGACTGTTTGCCTGCAAGGCTTTAGGTTAGCATCTTTTTGAGTTAGGTACATGCTGCTGTGTAAAGAATGAGCAAATTACCAGTTCCTGCACAATTCTTTCTACAAAATTTGGTGAAGATCTTGTACATAGTTCTTATGTGAATGCCTTAAGGTAAATGAAGTAAAAAGTAACTGTGGTTGCATTAGTTTGCAGACTTAGATATCCATTACTGTATATCTTTATTTTCACGTAATTACGAAAGACGATGTGCTTGCAAAAATTTAATTCTCACATATAATAGTATTCATTGAGATTAAGTAGAGCAATAAACCCAATTCATGAAAATTTTGTCCCACTAATCAAGAGTCAATGACTATCTCGCAAAAAGAAGGAGTGGTGAAAATTTAGTAATCTACAGTATTATAAATCTTTACTCATAATTTTTTTTTCATCCAATTTTCATATTCCATATCTTTTATCTCCCTTTGACTTAACAGTTTAGCTTACTAAGATAGTCATAAAAGATTTCTAATTTTATACCCCAGGAATGAAGGAGCTTTCTCCCTCTTCTGTGAATCTCAAGAGACTCCTGGAAACAGAGACTTTGCCATCCGAGCCTATTCTGATCATTATCTCCCCTGGTGCTGACTCCTCACAAGAGTTACAGGACTTGGCTGCTCAGACTATAGGTGGCGATAAATACCACCAGGTTTGTCACTGAATTCAATTTCATTTTTTCTATTGGCTCAAAAATTAGTGAAAACTATTTTTAAAAAGTGTCTTGTAACTTGCATAAGTGCTTTCTCTGTTTTGGTTAGATTTTATCTTACTGGGGTATTGAACTATTTCTAGACAGGTTGCTATGGGTCAAGGTCAGTCTGACATAGATTTGCAGTTGCTGAAGGAGTGTGCTCAGAATGGAGAATGGCTGTGTCTGAAGAACCTCCATCTTGTAACACCCTGGCTGCCTCAGCTGGAAAAAGTATCACTTAGTTCTTTCTTCTTTCTGTGAAAGATTTTTGGGAAATTTTAGACCAATGTTCAGATTTTTGCAGGTTTCTTTTGTCAAACTGGAGTAACACAATTTTTGTTTTTAGGAAATAAACACATTGAAGCCACATGAAGATTTCAGACTCTGAATGACAGCAGAAGTGCATCCTTAATTTCCCACAATCCTCCTACAGAGCAGCTTGAAAATCACTTATGAGGTAGGAAAAATATGAAATGTAAATGCTATTAGTTTTGTAACAAATAAGACAATATCATTGAAGAGATAATGTTTTTATTTTTTAATTCCCAATGTTCAAAACTTTTATTTGTACTGATGTTGATGCAACCATTTTGGTTCTTTTTTTGTCATGATAATTATTTAACTGTAAACTTGACTTTTTCTAAGAATATTCTATTGTATACAGTGCACATTTTTAGCTCTACTGGTCAGAGACCAGAAGAGCTTATGCGATAGTAATGCATCTGGCGTCTGTCCGTCTGTCTGTTTGTCTGTCTGTCTGTAAACAACTTTTCAAAATGCTACTCTTCCTACAGTTTTGGTCTGATTTTAATCATCATTATTCTATTTAATTATTGCTGTTGTAAAGTTTCAATTCCCAACTGCTTAAGTACTTTTCCCTTCCTTTGCTATAAGTACAAACCAGTAGAGCTTCAGTCTTGACAGAGACTTCTGATTAAACATTGTAAACTTTTGTGTTGGTTATTTATTTTAGAGCTGTCTGTTCTTCTAAAAGAAACTCAATTCTGTGATGACTGATGGAAAACCTCATCATCCCCCACTGCTTAAGAACCCCTTGTCTTAATCACCAGCCATTAATCAGTGATCATCGTTATCAAAGCTCCAAGGTACAATAGTGAAGTTTCTTTTGACACCATTTCTTCCAGTCTCTGACTTTGTTTAAGAATTAAAGATTTTGACTTTTTTGCTAAATAATTCCTTATAAAGCAGTTAACTCCCTGTTTCTTAGCTAATTAGAGCTCATTAATTAGAGTTGAAAATTTTTTTAGCAGGTAGCCAAAACCTCCAGCATTTCAGCTTTGACATTTCATTCCAAATTGTTTTCTCAATAATTAACTCATTAGATTTATTTAAGTTTTGAAATTAATATATTAAAGATTAATTTGTACAGAAATTTAGCCTAAAATTCAATAATGTGTTAGGAAGAGTTATCTCCATTGTTCATCCCTTAAGGACAAAAATAAATTTTGTTGCAGTAATTGATGAAAGATAAATAAATACTAGACATTTTCTGCCATTTTCATTTACGAGGGTTGATCTAAAAGTAATGTCACAACTTTGGTGAAATTGCTATAAATCGACGTAAAGCAAGAAAATTATGCATGATCGAAGCTTTATTTATTTCAAATCAAAATTCAAAAGAATATGATGTATGCTTTTTAAATTATCGGATTTTAAATAATGTGCATTTATGGTAGTCACCACACATAAATATAATGTCATATGATGGATACGCACCCGTCATACTTTTAAGCGTTTCCCCTTCGTTTCATTAAAAAATATCTGTGATTCGCAAACACTTTCACCAATTCCACTTTCTTTAAGAATTCTTGGTACCAGTATACACTCACTCTTTTCATGATTAAACCCCCTGTCAAATTTTTTTTAACAGCAGCATAAGACAAAATTAAAATTCACTTGTCATCTATACGTCTTTCTTTTTTGACGTCAGACACCATTGAACGTTTCCATCCGATCTTCTATCTTTCAGTCTTCTTGTCCTCTGCTGATCATTCAGTAACCAATCACCTGCCCAAAATTGCTGAAACCATCTATTTTCTAGTAAATAGATGCCTATATAAAATAAAGAAAGTTTTTGTCATGTCCGTCCTTCTGTCTCTCTGTCTGTCTGTCTGTCTGTCTGTCTGTTTGTCCGCTAAAACTTTAACCTTGCCCATAACTTTTGATTTAGTTATCCTTGCCCATAACTTTCGATTTAGTAGAGATATGGCTTTCATCTTTCACATGTGTATTCCTTGTGACAAGACCTATCTTTGGGTACCACAAAATTAGACCTCTTGACCTTGGAATTTGTCAACTTTTACATAAAAATTTTGAACTTTTACTATGGCGATATCTATTGAACAGTAGATAATCTATTGAACAGTAGATAACAGGACATTTAGACTTGACATATATATATATATTCTTTGTATAAAGACCTTTCATTGGATACCAACAACTTTGACCTTTTGACCTTGACATTCGACATTACTGTACTTATAAAAAAAACTTTAACCTTGACTATAAATTTTTAATGGTAAGTGCTAGGGCTTTCATACTTCGCATATATAATCCCTTAAAAAAGGCGCTTTATTGAGTACCAAGAATCTTGATCCTTTGACCTTGACTTTGGAGTTTGACCTACTTTAAAATACAACCTTGAACATAATTTTTGAAGGGTAAGAACTAGGGCATTCATACTTCACATATTTAATCATTGTGATAAGACCTTTTATTTGATATCAAGAACCTTGACCCTTTGACCTTGACCTTGGAGTTTGACCCATTTTTACACAAACATTCTAAACTTTTATTTTTGCCCTAATTCTTAAACGGTAGATACTAGAAATTTCATATTTCAAATATCAATTCTTTTCAGCAAGACCTTTTCATTTGAAACCAATAATTTTGACCTTTTGACCTTGACCTTAGAGATTTCTGAACTTACGAAAAAACTTGAACCTTGGCCATAACTTTTGAATGTTGAGAGCTAGGACTTTCATACTTTAAATATGTAATCCTTGTGAGAAGACCTTTTATTGGATATCAACAATTTTGACCCTTTGACCCTAACCTTGGAGTTTGACCTACTTTTTACAAACTTTAACATTGGCCATAACTTTTGAACGGTAAGGGCCAGCGCTTTCATACTTCCCATATGTAATCTTTGAGACAAGGCCTTTCTTTAGAAACCAGCAATCTTGACCCTTTGACCTTGACCCCAGAGTTTTTTCCTACCTTTTAAAATGTTAACCTTAGTCCCTTGAACAGGTGGTGCTAGGGTTTTATATTTAACATTTATCTTTCTTGTGAAAAGGCCTTACTTAGGTACCAACATATTAGATCTGAGAAAGGTTAACCTGTGCTGGATGTTGCCATACGGGGGCATCAGTGTTTTACAAACACATCTTGTTATGATAAGCAATGGTGCCTTTTACAAAATTGTGAATTCCATGGCCTCTGGTTTAAACACGAACCAAATCCAATTGTTGGAAAGTTGTTACATGATACTCAGGTGACTTATAAGGTCCATGGGCCTCTTGTATAAGTAATAAATCCTTTTTTTTTTATATGTTTTTTTTTCTTCCTTACAGATCATCAATACATTGACATAAAAGGCAGAAGAAATATGATACTCTGACATCAGAAGATTCATTTCTAACTTGCACCAGTCACTGCGACACATGTACATGTGGCAAACAGCAAAATAGTCCTTGACTGAACCACAACAGAAATGCACTTAGAGGCATAAGTCCACAGACAGACCTTGGACAAGAAGATATAACCAAGGAAAGAGAGAGTGTGGTGAACAATGAAAACTATGTGTGTGAGGTTTTGAAAGATAAGATGACTTCACCGAGATGTTCTCCATGCCCATTTTACCCTGTGAATATTAGTGATCTGATGACATCAGATGAAAGCTTTCGTCCTGAAAATAATGACGTTCTCAGGCAGTTCAGTGTCATGAATCTCAAATCTTCTACACAGACCGTCAGATACCCTATGCAGACCATCAGATCTCCTGACCAAAGGAAAGTATTCTCACCCCCCCATAGCCCTACCATCCTCTCTACCAGCAAACCTAAGCGACCTTTTGACCTCAGATGACAGCTTTTGTCCTCCAAGTAAACCCAGCTCTGCCAAAAGTTTAAATAATCTTGCTTTGAAATCCCCAAGTAAGAAGGAATTTGTCAGACAATGGCATCAACAAGATTTTCTGTTAGCTACTGACACGTGTTCGACAACTCTAGAACAGTCAGGAAACTCTGAAGATACTGAATTGTATGATCCAAATGATGATCTCAACAAGAGGCTTCCATACAGTATAGATACTATATCTCGGGCAAGTACGGCAGAATACAAGATTCACTACTGGGAAGATCCAGACACTGGCAACAAACTGATCGTAAAGCATATTCTATCGTCGTTTTGTGGAAATAGTGGCCATCCATTCATCAGCAACAGTATCTGTAGCCTGTAAACAGTGGACTCCGAGAGGGCAGAATTGTACGACTGGAAATATTACTCCCATCTCAGATGACATCAATAATGTATTATTCAATAAAGAAATCCGACAGCAGTTACAGGGCCTAGGGGACAAGCCTGGACCATTTATTCCGTCCACTGGCCAGACATACCTAGCAAGACTTAAACAACTGGAAACTAATCTACAAGGGGGCCAGCTTGGAATTTTAAAGACGTTGCCAGGTGGGTTTTGAATTACAGCAAATTTTAAAATATACCAATTACAATTCATAATAATTATCTTAAACATCTTTGCTTAATACATCTTATTGATCTTAATACTTATGTCAATTCTGTGACCAGTTTTCAATTTCGATTATTCGTCAAAACAATCAACTTTATTAGCTCTACTGGTCAGAGACCAGAAGAGCTTATGCGATAGTAATGCGTCCGTCGTCCGTCCGTCTGTCTGTCTGTCTGTCTGTCTGTCTGTCCGTCTGTCTGTCCGTCTGTCTGTAAACAATTTTTCAAAATGCTACTCCTCCTACAATTTTAGTCTGATTTCAATATTACTTGGCACACAAGTAGACTACACTAAGATACATAGAATAGTGCATCGGTTTTTGATTTCGGTGATCGGTGTTGCCATGGTTACTAAAAATAGAATTCTCTGTGAAATTCCTTTAAAACACTACTCCTTCCACAGTTTTGGTCTGATTTCAATATTACTTGGCACACAAGTAGACTACACTAGGATACATAGAATAGTGCATCGGTTTTTAATTTCGATGAACGGTGTTGCCATGGTTACTAAAAATAGAATTTTCTGTGAAATTCCTTTAAAACGCTACTCCTTCTACAGTTTTGGTCTGATTTCAATATAACTTGGCACACAAGTAGACTACACTAAGATACATAGAATAGTGCATCGGTTTTTGATTTCGATGAACGGTGTTGCCATGGTTACTAAAAATAGAATTTTCTGTGAAATTCCTTTAAAACGCTACTCCTTCTACAATTTTAGTCTGATTTCAATATAACTTGGCACACAAGTAGACTACACTAAGATACATAGAATAGTGCATTGGTTTTTGATTTCGATGAACGGTGTTGCCATGGTTACTAAAAATAGAATTTTCTGTGAAATTCCTTTAAAACGCTACTCCTTCTACAGTTTTGGTCTGATTTCAATATAACTTGGCACACAAGTAGACTACACTAAGATACATAGAATAGTGCATCGGTTTTTGATTTCGATGAACGGTGTTGCCATGGTTACTAAAAGTAGAATTTTCTGTAAATTCCTTTAAAAAGCTACTCCTTCTACAGTTTTGGTCTGATTTCAATATAACTTGGCACACAAGTAGACTACACTAGGATACATAGAATAGTGCATGGGTTTTTGATTTCGATGAACGGTGTTGCCATGGTTACTAAAAATAGAATTTTCTGTGAAATTCCTTTAAAACGCTACTCCTTCTACAGTTTTGGTCTGATTTCAATATAACCTGGCACACAAGTAGACTACACTAAGATGCATAGAATAGTGCATTTGTTTTTGATTTCGATGAACGGTGTTGCCATGGTTACTAAAAATAGAATTTCCTGTGAAATTCCTTTAAAACGCTACTCCTTCTACAGTTTTAGTTTGATTTCAAAATAAGGCCATATAAAATTAATTTTTAGATTCTCATCCCCGCCCGCCCCTCTCAAAATGTCCCGCCCCGTTGTTTTTTATTTTCCAAAAATTTTTTTTTTTGAAAAATAAGAATCGGTAGAAAAAAAAATCGGGCTCGGTATACAAAAAATTCAAAATATTTAATGGCTGCCTGACATATTGGCGCGGTATTTATATCACGTTGGAGCAGTTGTCATGTTTGTGATAATAAAAATACGGCAAGATGTGGTAGTAATCAAAGAATGGTGCGGGGTAATGTGCAGTGATCCACAGTCAACCCTTATAGATCTATTTCACAATCATATGCAAGGGAAGTATGACAAAAAGCCTGGCCAGGACGTGCATGAAATCGATCAGGTAACTGCATTTGTTGGTCCATCGAAAACCGATTTAACGGAAATGTCATCAAATGTCAAAGTGTGTGACGCTGTATCCTGTGTTGGGAGTTTCATTGAGTTTGTGTGTCGTAAACTAGATGATGGTGAACTGAGTAACCCTGTTAGTGAAACAACTGAAGTTCGAAAAAATGCCTTTACAATTTTAACTTCGGCAGCAAATCAAGCTAAGCATTTACCTACAAAAAAAAGTGAAATTAACAATAAATCACGGATGTATAATGATATCATTGAATGGTTGAAGCAAATGGATGTTGGATTTACATCAGTTAACAGAGACACTTTAGGGGTTGGACTGGTTAATTCCATTACTGACGCTTTGTGGTATATAGATGGGAATCATGACACATTAGCAGAGAGGGCATGCCCTGTTCCTGCACCCCTTGAACATTTTAAAAATTACTACTGTCCAGAAAAGAGAAAAAGAAAAAAAATAGACTGTTCTGTGTTGGCCGAAGAAACACTTCGAAATCACTCGACAACAATTATGATGCTGTGTGAAAAGAGTTTTTTCCAAAGAGAACAGTGGACAGCTGTTAAACAGGTATGACACACCATAATGTCACCATTCCATATTTGTAAAAAAAAAACTCTGTAGCTGTGAATTGAATACCCATATTTTAAAGTGTAAAATTTCTTTAATTAAAATATATTTGAAATATTACATTGATTTTATTTATTGAATGCTAGAAAGACATGATTTGCACAAATAAAAATCATGCTTCTAAATCTTGTTGATATTTTTCAGGTTATATGTAATTTGGGTGAATCATTGTTAAAGTATGCCAACTACTTGTCATCAAAAAAGTCACAAGATTTAAAGAAGAAACCCAAACAAGCCACTGATAGAGAACATTATGAAGTTTTATCCCAATCACATCACATTCAACCAGGTCCAGCTAGCAGGTAAATTTTGGTGTTAAAATTTCGTGCATCTAAATATGGCATGCACATTTAAATAAAAGATGAATGCTTTCAATCCTAGTCAGTTGATTTCTGTCCCTCTCAATGTTGAATTCCATGCTTTTTTTATTTTAGATACAAGATGCTTCACAGTGCTGTTATAGCAAGCAAGCCTTATGAGAGCATCCTTGTCAATGACTTTTCACCGGGTGATGCAAGGAGGCGCCATGAGTTCATGAAGCAAATCGTGGTTCCAGTCAAATGTATCAAGTTCACTTACAGTGGAAGCGAAGAACACTTAGTTTTTATTTGGAAAGTTGACAATTCTGATTCAGAGAGTCAGGTTCTTTCAAAAAATATGGAAATTTCCTCAAATTTAAGAAAAGACTTACCTGTTTATCATACACGTGCAATGAGAAGAGAGTTCCTAAGCATGTTTGGAAAACAGATCCATGGGAAAACAGGATTTCTCAGGGAAGCATACAGACGTTTAACTGGTGATATCTCTGCGAGTATTAACTATACTACAAGTGAAATGGATAAAAGAATTTCTACCATTTTAGAAATGGAGGATTCTGATTTAATATGTGATCTGCGAGTCAATAATACTGGTCAGCCAGAGAAGTATGAAAAGTTTCTTGAAGAATGTCAGAATTACATTGGTTCAAAACTGGAAACAGCTGTAGATGATAGAAGACATGATGCAGTGACAAAGGATTTTGATGTTGTAACACATTTAGCAAATGCATTCTCAGTCAGAGATTTTTATGAACAGGTTGTCAGCAAGTGCCCTGAAAATACACCTATACCATCAAAAGAATGGTTACGCCTACAGTTCTGGCCGAGAAATTGTCATTATTAAAGTGCAGCACGATATACTGGTAAGCTTAAAGTGAAATTTATGATCCAAAGTCGCCAGTTTCGAAAGTCACATGAGGACATGCATTATGCCTCTGCTTTATTTAGATATGAAAAGGAATTCTGCCTACGTTTTAAGGATCACTGTAATTTACTTTGTGTAGATGATAAACATAAAGTTAAAGTCGGAGAACCAGGATATCCAGTAGCAGCTGCTGAAAGAGGAAAATCTGTTCTCGTAGCTATGGGAAAACGATTTGAAGTTAGTGATCATGACTTCACAAAATTTTCTATCACTCCGAGTGTGGCACTTTCTGTGAAAATTCCTGATTCTATTGAAGAAACATTTTATGATGGTAAAGTTTCAGTTTTTCTTAAAGAATCTATATTTGAACCTTCATCTCCTTGGAGGCATGCAGCTGAAATGCTTCAAGTCATTGATCACACAAAACCAGTAGTTGCCATTTACAGTGATGGTGGCCCTGATCACCGTGTTACATATGGTAGTGTTCAGCTTTCTCTCATAAATGTTTTCTTACAGGGTGACTTTGATATGGTTGTTGCAGTAAGAACACCCCCCTGTAACAGCTGGAAAAACCCTGCAGAGCGTATAATGTCCGTTCTAAATCTAGGATTCCAATCTGTAGGTTTAATGCGGGCTAACCTAGATCAGAAATATGAAAAGTTACTCACCTCACTATCATCCATGAATCAGATTAGGGACAAAGCTGAGAGTGAAAGTGGCAGGGGTCTGGATACCTATGTGAAAGACTCTTTAGAACCAGTTAAGTCTCTGCTTTCTGGTGTAATAATGTGTTTAAAATGGAAAGACAATAATCTTGATTGCAAACAACCTGCAACAGACCAAGAAATACGGGATCTTGCATGGAATATGACGGGCATTGATGACATTAACCCACTCCACACCACTCAAACTGACCTTAAAAGCAAATCCAAGCTACAGGACTTCCTAACAAAACACTGTAGATTGCGTCATTACATGTTTTCTGTCAAAAAGTGTGGTCTAGCATCCTGCTCTGTTTGCAAACCTCCTAGACTTCCTGAAGAATTCTTCAATGATTTGTGTCACCTCCCTGATCCTACACCAAGTGATGGTGATAAGTATAAATCCTTCAATGAAGTTTACAAAACAGACACATCTGAAAACTTTAGACCTTCATTAAAAGTATCTCTGGGTGGCCAATCAGGTACATCTGCTCATGGAATGCCATTTTCTCCATCTTCACAATATGCAAAAAATGTGGAAATGGTTATTTTATGTAGTCAGTGTGAAAAACCAAGAGTACTTTATTGTAAAAGTGTTGTGAGGGGTATTTCAAGAACACAATTGCAGAGGTCATTGAATGACTTAGAATATTCATGTGGGTCATGTTTTGTGGATATAGAATGTGATGACTCTCATATTTTAAAAAAAGTATTTGTTAGAAAAAATCTACAATGCACAGATACTATTGAGATTCCTTATTTTTCAGCAGGACTTGATCCCATTTGTTTTTATTGTGGTAATGATGATAATCTTAAGCTAAGTGATGATGATTACCCACTGTGTATAAATTGTCAAGATGAAGGGAAAAGGGCTGTTAAAAAACGTACACGTAAATGAAATAAATGAAATCAGTTGGTAAACAGTAGAAATAAATGAGATTAAAACATAAAATTGATTTGTTTTATTTACTATAATTCATTATATACTGATGAAGAAGAAAAAACAGAGTAATTGTTATCAAAAGAACACGAAAAAGATCTTTTTAAAAAATAAAAAATAAAAAATAAAATCCACCCACCCGCCCCAATTTTTTTCCAAATCAGGATGAGAATCTAAAAATTAATTTTATGTGGCCTAAGTTGGCACACAAGTAGACTACACAGAGATACATAAAACAGTGCAATGGTTTTTGATAAGTACAAACCAGTAGAGCTACAGTCTCGACAGAGACTTCTGGTTTTTTAACTTTTCTTACACTGTATGATTTTAATCTCATGGATCACGAACGTTTATGAATACACTTTCATTGACTTGCTATCTTAGCATGATTAGATTTGACTAAAAGTCATTTGTCATTGCTTGAATAATGTTTTAGAACCAAACAATTCAATAACTCATTTTTTCCTCAGATTACCCGTGCTGTGTAACAGTTTTGAGGGACAGTTTGATGTGGTGGGTCTGCGTGAGATGGAGGAGGAGCTGATTAAGGTGTTTAATGACGAGTCTCTCCGTGACCTGGAGAGAGGGGCCCCTCTAGTCCTCCTTTAACTATCTCTTACTGGATCCTCGGATCACACAGGACCTACCCAACAGGGCATATAGCCTCTGTAAGTTTTACCTCAGTTATACAGGATCAGTGCTTCGTTTGAAATTCAGAATTTAAAATTTTTATGATGAAATTAATTCTTTACTGCTGACAAGTTTTTAGCAGCTTTTGTTTTAATTATTTTGTTATTTTTTTTTCTCTGTATGATGTAAAAAGAAGAATATCAATCACTAGGAATTTGTGATCTATTTTCATACCCTAACCATCATTGTATTTAATTTTTAGGTGAATTGGAGACATTTAAGATATTTGTTGGTGCTATATTTTACATTGGCAAAGGAAAGAGGTCCCGACCGTACTGTCATTTGAAGCCCAGTCCCACATGAACAATAATCTTAGTAAAGTAAGTGAAACAAGCAAAAGTACAAAAGCAAAGAACAACATAGCTGAAGCTCTGTTAATTAAATTAGTGTTAACATTTCTGAAAATTACCGTATACATGTAAGTCGTAATTTTAGCGAGACCCCAATTTAGCGATTTAACCATAAGGGGTATTTTTTAGCGAGCAGCAATTTTTGCAATTTCAAAATGCTCACTTATGTAGCTATAATAACTCCAATGCAATTAATTTTAGCGATCTCAGCACCCTTGCTAAAAATGCCAAAATTATATTCTTGCTAAAAATTCTGCTTATACGGTACAGCAATTTTTTTTAGGGCCGATTTGGGGCCTAAATTCGGCCCAGTCCTAATTGAAAATATGCCTGTTTTTTCCCAAAATGTAATGAAAGTTTTCCCAAATAAAAATTTACAAAATATTTGATCAAATTCAGTTTGTTTATTGCATGTTTTGCAGTAAAGTTCAAGCAGGTTTTGTTGTTCAGCCATGGTGAATTTTCTTCATAATTAGATAATTCATACCACTATTGTTCTTGATGTCATCATGGTTATTAATTAGATAAATCATACCAAGAATAGTCTTGATTTTTCATCACAATTGCTTGTTAAAGTAATACAAAGACAAAAACAATGCTTTTTTTTGACAATGCTTTTGAGTGACTGTTTTTTTTTTGGAGATTCCCAATTTAGCCAAATTGATGCTGAAATTCCCAATTCTGAGGGCCCCAACCCCCAGTCCCAAAGTACTGAAAAAAACACTGTGGTATTATCATTTAAGGTATGAGCTTGTCTTATTTAACTTCCGTATGCTCTTACATGTAAATGGTTTATAGATCCAAATAAGTATACCTTACACTGTAATGTTTTTGGGATCAAAATAAGTAGGCAAATCATTTTATTTAAACTGTTTAGTGAAATTAGATTGATGTATTTTGTAGGCTGGCAAGAAAGTCCAACATATCTTGGACATTTGGAATGATGGTCAAGGAGTTGTCTCCCTGCATTGTGTTCAGAGTGTCATCCCTGTGGAAGCATACACCAGAGAAGCCTGTGTGGTGGATGCTATAGGTAAGTTAGTGTTACTATTAATCGATTGAATTCATGAGTTCATTTGAGCTTCAAAATATAGAGGACACTAAAAGTTTACTGAATCCCCCTCCCAATACCGGCATTTCTGCTAGTAAAGAGATGATTTAAATTTTTTGTTATTGAAAAAGTATATATAAACTTCTTTCAAGGTCTAAGAAGAAAAGGAAAATAATTTTCAAGTAGGGTATTGTTAATATTAATAATTAAACTCCAACCTTACTTATTGCTGATCAAGAAGTTTTCACAGGTGTTGTCCAACACATTCCAAAAAAAATCCCTTCAACCAAAAATCAAGGAGTCACCCCAGTCTAACCCTCCACCCTTTCTCCCCACCGTTAGCTCTTTGGGAAACCACAGATATGTTCATGAAATACAGTCTTTTATCCCTGAAAAATAGACTTTTTTGATACATGTATCTGCCCAGGATATGTCCGTTCTATCTGAAGTACAGTACATGTATTTGCAACTTACAGTCTTTTGTCATCTTATGTTTCACTGTCCAAAACCAACAGTATACAGTTAAAGTAAATCATTGAAGGAGTCAGCAAGATTCCAGTTCCCCAAGAGCAAGTCTTATTCCTGAGGCGCAGCCGAGTGAAAGACTCACTCAATGGTAGACTTAACCGTGTTATTATACCCATATTATTATGAATATTCATGATGTTAGTTTGGAACATCTCAGAACTCTTCATATGATTAAAAGGAATCACTGGGTGTTCCAAATAGGTGTGTATCAGTTCATCAAACTGACTCACCTCTTTGCAGAAATCAGTCCTTTTACGGTGATTTTCAAGGAATTGGCAAAATATATCAATTTACTTTTATTAGGTCACCTGAGTTTACTATTGCAATCCCTTTTTGTCCGTCGTCTTTCGTCGTCAATTGGTCGTAAACTTTTGGACATTTTCTTCTCTGAAACCATTGAGCCAATTTCAACCAAATTTGGTTTATAGCATCTATGGGTGAAGGGGAACAAAAATTATGAAATTCATGCCCCCCTGGGGCCTGAGGGGTGGGGCCAAAACCACAAAAATTAATGCAATCTTTAAAAATCTTCTTTACACCTGGACATCAAGCAGTCAAACATGATTGTAATAAGTCTTGAGTCCTCTACCAAAATTGTAATATTCATGGCCCCAGGGTCAGGGGTTCTAGTGCTAGGGTGGGGCTAAATAGATTATATAGTGAAAATGCATTATTTCTTTGAAAATCTCCTCCTCTGCGCATGGGTAGTTAACAAATGAACTGAGTACAAAGTTATGATAACCAAAAGTGCCTCTTCCAAAATTTTGAATTTCATGGCCCCAGGGTCAGGGGTTCTTAGGTGTTAGGGCGGGGTTCTATTGATTATAAAGTGAAAATGCATTAATTCTTTGAAAATCTTCTTTTCTGCTCCTGGGTATTAAATAAACTAACCAAGTACAAAGTAATGATGAGCAAGAATGTCTCTTTCAAAATTGTGAATTTTATGGCCCCTGGGTTGGGGCCTTAAGTGTTAGGTCAAGGCGGGGCTCTATTGATAACAAAGTGAAAATACATTTATTTTTTTAAAATCTTCTCCTCTTCTCCTGGGTATTGAATAAACTTACCAAGTACATGATAATGTTGAACAAGAATGGTTCTTCCGAAACTGTGGATTTCAGTGCCCCTGGGTCAGGGGTTCTGGTGTTAGGGCAGGACTCTATTGATTATATAGTGAAAATGCATAAATTCTTTTAAAATCTTCTCTGTTCCTTGGTATTAAACCAATGAACTATGTACATAGTTATGATGAGGAAGGATGCTCCTCCAAATTTGTGGATTTCAGGGCCCCTGGGTCAGATCTGGTGTTAGGGTGGGGCTCCTTATTTCGCCTAAGATCTAAGTATATATATTTATGATGAAGAAATGTACCTCTTTCAAAATGATTAATTTCAGTGCCCCTAGGTCATGGATACCAGGGGGAAGGGAGTACTTAGTCTGAAACTAATTTAGTGCTATGAAATCTACTCTTGGCTTTAATCAACCATTTCAGGGTCAGTGGTTCATACATGTCCAAGAACACATTCGATGTCGATATCGACGATATCGACAATATTATGTCGATATCCTATCGATATCGATCTTAATCAGCAATATAAATTGGAAATACCTGGTGCCGTATTTGAGACTCTATATTATGTCGATGTTGTCGATATTGACATTATCATGACGATATCGTATCGATATCGATCCTATTTGCACAATTTATTTTCACATTGAGGTATAACAGAATTTTAGAGAGTCACAAGTGAAGTCAAAATTGATTCCTTATTGGCATGAATATAAAAATAAATTTAATTTTTAGGGTTGTTATTGTTTTAGATTAGATTCAGAGTAAGATGTTGGATTAGGGTGAAAATTCTTAAATATGTTTTATCAATCATGATTCGATATCGATACGATATCGTCGATATCGACGATATCGACAGTAAGGTAAACTTGTTAAACACAGAAGTGATGTAAAAATAAAGTTTTTGTATTAGGGTGAAGATTTGTAAAGTAATATGCTCTTAACAATCATGATTAGATATCGATACGATATCGTCGATATCGACGATATCGATGGCAGGTAATATCTTCGTTAAAGTAAAGTATTTAAACATAAACACATTCAAAGAAACAGTGAAGGTATTTACCAAGGGTTTAGCAAACATGATTCGATATCGACACATCAGGGAAAGATTTATAAAGAAGTTTTTAAGTAACAGTTCTTAAAAACACCATATTAAGGATGGAAACCACAATTTTTGGAGCAACCATGATTCGATATCGGCACGATATCGAGGATATTAACAGTAAGGAAATACTATTCAAAACAGAAAGTATTGAAATAAACACATGAGAATAGAGAAATATTATAGTAAACTATAAAAAAGTAATGTGTCGATATCGTAACTACATCGTGTCTTGGACATAACTCCAGTGGTTCCTGTGGGAAGGGGTACACAACTGGTTGTTGTTACAGGATACTCAGGTGACCGTGGGCCTCTTGTTTTCATCAAAATTTGTTTGAGAAGAGGTGTACAAATCCATACATAGACATTAAAAGTATTGCACACAGGTCTTTCATTTAG